TTATGATACATTTTTTTAAAGATATATAGAAAAAAGGGAAGAAAATATACCAACATGTTAACAATCCTGTAATTATGGGTGACTTTTTCTCTTTTCAACTCTTGTATTTTTGTGTTTTCAAAACCATTCTTAATAAGCATGAATTATTTTTATTTAAAAACTTCATTCATTAGTTTTACTCAGTACACAGTGCAGAAATGACTGAGGTAATAGACATATTATTATCTTTCCAGTGGGCTAACACAAACTCTGTGGAGATCAGTTAAGATCAAAGAAGTAAATGTTAGTATGTCTTGACAAACTTAGGCATGGAGAAATATGTGAGGTGTTAAGAAATTTATTGAGTTAACACCGTCCCATAATGTTCTGTGGTATGACAGTTTTATGTGACGTTTGACCCTGTTTTTAATAATTTTAGCATCTTAAATGGATTAAGAACCTGCTATGGACCATGCATTATATTTTTCATTCATTATCTCATTTATTTATCTCAATAAACAAAAACAGATGCATTATTCTCATTTGCAGATTAGAAATGGATGCTAAGAATGGTTAAATAACTTATCTAAACATAACAAAAGTACAATGTGATAGAGCTGAATTTCAAAGTTAAAATTGATTTAAAGTTCCTGTCTTTTAACTCAGCTCTACCATGTCTTCGGCACAGTACTAGTTACTCACAGATGAGGGGAGGATAAGATTTACATCAATATCAATTTCTTTCAGCAGGATATAGTTGGTTAAGTCCATTTTGCCCATATTCCAAAATTATCTAAACAAATCTGCTTTCAAAATTTTACTGACACAATCACATAGTTGTACTTAATGGTACTTGTTGACTCAGCAGACTGTCTCTTGTTTACTTTCATTCTACTACCCAGCTTTCATCTCAGCCAGAGCCTGTGTAAACTAGGGCACTATTTCTTCCCTCAACCCAAGGACCACATGAAAACAAATACATGAAAATGAATGCAACACTTTTCTGGACCCAAAGAGTAAGCTAACTTGAACACTAGCTACTAGATGAGAAGAATATACTATTACCCTTTCACGGGATTTAGCATATGAGCCCTAGTCACTGACATACCAACCTTTTTAACTGAATAGTTGCTGATTAACATGACCAAGTGATTAAGTAAGCAAAGAAGTCAGTTGTATTTGCTCCTTTCTGTTTTAGTAAAATTTGGGCTCAGACTTGGAAAATATTCTTGTTTTTCTAACATCAAGAATACAGTATTGTTTTCTCAGTATGAGAAAACACTTTGATATTGGAAATTTTCCAAAGCCCCCAAAAAAAGGATATTCAGTATTGCTCATCACTTGGCATATCTTGGAAACTAATTCGTTTATTCTACTGGTGATGTAATAACATATAAGTTATTTTTTATTATGTCTTCAGAACTTGTAAGGTTTATTGATAGTCTCAGTAATCACTTATTAATGCTGTATTATTAATTCTTTGTCTCAGAACACACTCTTGGTCCTTCAGGAATGACATTGGACAAAGGCAGGTAAGAATTCTGGCTCAGCCTGTTAGAATTTCTGAAATTGCTTCTCCTGGGAGCTTTCCTTTTGGTTAAGACATAATCTCCTAGGGATGCATCTAAAATGTGCATGTGCCAAGGAGTGATCCTTTCACCAATCACTGACAGCCCTTAGCATAGTACATAACATCATATGCCGAATGCCGGCAAACACTTCTCCAGGCCTTGAATGTCCTTGTTCCACTTTCTTCATTATTCAACCTATACCTCATAGTATGCTGCCATAGAATCTCAGCTCTCTTACTCTGTAGTCCCTTAGCTGCACTGACCCTGGAGCACCAATCTTGAACTAATCCAGCCAGCTGTCCTTGCAGCAACTATGTTCATGTATTATTGTCGGATAAAGTGAAACCACAGAGCAGATCAGAGCCACTATAGAGATGCAGTCCCCAGCCCCAGCTGGGTTCTCAGCATGGCCCAGGTAGTCCTTCTGCATTCTCTGGTCTACTCCTCTCAGCTTCCTGAGTGGGGCCACTTCCTTCATGTCCTCTGGTCACCCCTCACTTGTCACTTTCCCCCAGTGAATGGCCAACTCCTATTTCACTGCAAAGTTGCCCACTTCACCTTTGGAAATATGGTAGAAATCTTGACATTTCCACATTTTCTTTCTCTTCTTTGAGGTCCGTAATATTTAAAGCACCTTGTGTTTCCCCAAACATGCAATGAGCTACTCGTACAATGAACGTCAATATTAAACATTCATCCAGGACTTGGTGTCCTGGATTTCAATGACAGCTGTGCCCGCTCTGAATTAGTCATATGTCAAGCCTGTGAATCCTATCCCTGTGTGCATACGATTTAGAAGAGGAGGGTACTCAGATATCTCTAAAGCAAATCACTCAGACAGAAAGGTTTCTAGGTATGCTAGTAAATGGGGAAATTTTAAAAATGGTGTTTAGACAGGAGCTCTTTGTGCATTTGAACAAATTCAGTGCTGTTTACATGAATTCCTGTACCCCCACAGTTAAATTCTGCCGTACACTTAATGCTTCATGATAAAGCATTAAATACTTTTGAAGCATGTTGTTAAGGTGAGCAATTCAGTGAAATGTTAGCTACTTTCATATATGGTGGTTTGTAAAGTTCTCCTGCTTGTGGGTTATGATATTGAGCTCATCGTTGAAAGTATCACAAAAAGGTAGTGATTTTTCTCATCTTTTGAGTGTTAGCATCTAGATTAAACTGAAACTAAACAATAAGCTGTTAATTTCATGAAGTTGGTTATTAATTCTATTGAGAAAATAGTATGCTGACAGGAAAGAGTCCACTGAATACCTTTGCACTATTTTAAATCTGTCAGCCTCTTTTGTAGATATTATTTGGGAAGGTCCCCTGATTCATCCATGATAAAGGACTTAGGAAAAATGGATTCTATCTAAAAAACTTTAAAAATTGCCTTCTGCCAGGAATAGAAAAAACAACTATGAAATGGTTTGTGTGGAACATTTTTATAACTTTGAATAATATTAAAATAATAGTGGATTATTGTGTTTTCTTTGTACCAACGTATTCTATGCATTTCAACATTTACAATTTTAAGGGCTATGTTTTCATGATAATGTTTATTCTCAGGACTGGGGTGTGTAGTTAATAGATAATTGGGCATGGTGTTTTTGGCTTAAGGTTGATGTTAAATGCATATTAATTTATATTTTACAATAAATACAGAAGACTAGGCAAAAATACCATTTTAATTTTTGAGTTTCACTCTAATGATAGTAGCACGTAAATTATAAATGAATAAACAATTGGATTAACAACTTGATTATTTTATTTGAAAGCCCAGATATTTGACTTTGTTACCTTTATGCCATCATATTTTGAAGATTTCAAAATAGAGATAGTGTGAACTAAGGGCTTTACCTGTAAAATTTGGGAACTGAAAATCATTTCTTTCTAGAGTATAAATTAGGAATTGCTCATATGAAGAGATTGTTACTGTTTTCTATGAATCGCATTCTAATTAGAACCATCAAAATCAATGCTCCCTATAAGACTGAATTTCACTAAATTTTAGCATTTAATCATGTCATTCTATGTGATTCTGCAGTTTAGATTAGCACAGATTAGACATAACAATCCATAAGTCCTGACATCCAGGTGCTGTCTTACCAGACATCCGTTGTATGATCAGGAAGTATTAAAATAATCTGAAGCCAATGTTAAGTCTTTCTGGCTATTATTAGCTATTTGAAAAGATCTAGATTCTTTTTTATCTGGAGATACCTCAAAGTATTAGTTGACAATTAAATGTTTAAATGCATTTGAAGATATCATTCCACTTATGGGAAAACAAAACAAAACAGGACAAGTCTATGAAATTAGGCTATGAAGAAAGCTGTATTTTGTTAGTGTGTGAATCTTGACCTTGTGGCTCCAGAAATTTTAGTGAACCACAAAATCTAAAGATATATTTCCCATCTACATACAGATACCACCTTCAATTATTTATACAATGCAAGCGTGTTCAGTTCTTTGATAAAGTAACATATAAAGGGAAAATAATTTAAGTGTGTCATAAAACACAGAAGTCTCTTCATGCTACTATAATACATTTAATTTGAAAACTCTTTAAATGATACCATTCAATCAGCCTTCTCATGTGTTTTTAAAAAAGATTTCAATGCAGCCCTTAGTCACTTTGCAAATCACATATTTGTCCAGTCTTTCTTCCTGATTTGAAATATATTAGTCTCAGTTTCATAATGCACTGGCCAGAAACCATATCACTGTGGACATTCTTGCTACTGCAACAGGTGTTCGTCAGTTTCTTAAGTTGCTTTCCTTTCCTCTGAGGTGGTGTTATTTCCGGTACATTCCAAAGGCTCTGAAAAAAACTTGCACAGTCTTTGCCAAGCCAAATCATGACTCGGCCTCAAAGTTACTGAGAACCCATTGTCTTCAGGCTTTGATTAAGTGGGCAAATTATGTTCATCTTTCTCTAATTCTGTTTTTTTTTTAGGAACTAAAATATTTATGAAGCATTGTATAAAATTAAAAGTGAAATGGAAATGGTTTTTTTGTTCGAAAGCCAGCCCTCTGGATGTCTGGGAGTAGGGTTGATTATATTCCCGAGTCAGAAGGTTTTCATCACCCATTCAGACCACCCTGAAGTTTGACGTACACATAAACAAAGCAGATCTTGATAACATGCAGTCTAATGTTCCTACCTGCTAATGTTTCCTCTACCAGTGAGGGCTCTGCTGGCACTGTACGGCTGAACTTCTTATTGTAGAACTTAAGACAGGGAAGGATACCGGTAGTAAGGAGACCATCAATCAATTGCTTTTTTATATAGCTTTCTCCCTCTGCACACATTGCACCCCTGCTTTACCATCTAAAACCTAAGCCCACCATGATATGAATCAGTTGTGATCAGAGCACACATACACACATACACACACACACTTTAGAACTGTGACAAGGCAACAAGAAGACAAGATTGCTCAAACCAACCTTTTGGAAGTTTCTCAGTCCCGCTGAAGGCAACCAAGGTAAGAATATGTACCAGTGGAATGTTGACGAGCTCTCTCATGATTAATCCAGGCTCAGGCAGGAGAAAGTTCCTTCTGGACAATGCAAGGAAAATGCCCCACAGTTTACATTTTAAAGCATAGCTTGTTACAAAAGGGTCATCTGCTAATGACCGTTTGTGTCAGCAGCTCCACAGGCTCTGAGTATAATCAGGAATTCTCAGACTTGGCTGTAATGATGGACATGGCCAGCTGGTGAGTATCCACTTAGGCCAGTAACGCAAGTGTAGGGCTGGAGGAACAAGGGAAAGAAAATCCCTTTAGAATCCCTTTTAAGACAGTGGCAGAAGGACAATACCAGATGCCTTTTGCAACCGTCACTGTATTCCCTGAGGTATAGGTTTCCTGATCTTCTGACTCATCTCGCCACCTCTCCGCACTCACCCCGGAGCCCTGGGTGTATCTAATTGTGACTCCTCCCCCTCCCACTCCCACTCCCAGCCCATTACCAATACCTACAGATTGTACCAACTCAATAGTCCTTGACTTCTTCCCTCCCTTTGGTTCCAACTAGTATGCTATCTCAGCCTCTTTTTTAGACATTCATTTTCTCTGAGTGACAGTGATAGCCTCCTGTCTGTTCTCTCTGCCTTGTAGGTCTTACCGTCCTCTAATATCCTTTCATACAGCTTCTCCTGCTCAGAAGCCTTTAGTGGCTCCTCATCACATAAAAACATGTTCAAACCTCCCTAATATGATATAGGAGGCTTTGCTGGACTCTGCCTACCTTGTTAGCCTCATCTCTTATAATCCAACCATACTTATTTTAATACTTAGCGAACTGCTGATGGTTCCCTGTATGTATAGCTTTCTTGCCTCCATAAATTGTTCATGCAGTTCCAGCCCCTTAGCATGCTTTTCCCCTCCTCCCCACCCAGTTAGCACCTACCTCAGCTTGAATGTCATCTCCTCCTGGGAGCCATCCCAGACCCCAAATTCTGTATCGCCCCAAAGTTGTGTTAGGTTTGCCGCCTCTGGGTTTCCACAGCATATTCTGCGCATCTTCATCACTGCACTTGCCACTCGGCTTTAAGATTTTCCTCCCCTTGCGTCAGTGGCGTCCTTGCCCTTTGGCCTCGGGCGTCCCCTGAGTCAGCAGCTGTGGACTGTCAGCCACATTACACCCTTTGCTGCAGGTTCTCCTGAAGGCGCACCTCCAGTGGCTTCCAGAACTTGCCACTGCGCATTGCCTTTTTCCACTGAACAGTGCGTCTTGGCGACTTTGCTGTGTTATGTGCAGCACTACCTCATTAGTTCTTTCGGCTGCGTTGCCTTCTAAGTCATGGGTGTGTGATGGTATATTTAACTGCTCCCCAGCAATGTATGAGAGAATCCATTTCCCACACGCTCATCAACACTTACCTTTAAATTTTTACTTTTAAATAAAATTTGTATTTCATTTTTAAATTTATGTTTATTATACTGAATACTATTGGAAATGAGAATTTTCTGTATAGACATTTTTCTCTTCTGTGGTTTTTGTCTATTTTCCTCTTAGGTCATTTTAATTTTGATTATTAATTTTTAGGAGTTTTCTTAATATTCTGGATGTAACTAATTTATATTATTTGCCTGTTATATGTATTGCAAATGTTTTGTACATAGAATATCTCTACTACCTAGCTGTAGTGATTGGTTCAGAAATGGGTTTATGGCTCAAGCTGGTCAGTTCAGGGTCTCCCTGGTATATTATTGGACCTAATGCAAAATAAGCTCTTCCTTCTTAGGTACCACCTACGAGGGCCAGGTAGTCCAGGGCTGTGGGAGGCTTCCATGCTCCATTAACAGGAATCGTTGTGCAAAGCCAGATCTACCCATTGGAGTTCCTTATTTAAATTTATAAGCCCCCCCCCCTTTTTTTTTACTTGGCTAATATTAGCTTAATTTCTTAAATTACAATCAAAATAATCCTAATGTAATTTTAATAGAAGCGATACAGATTTGATCAGATTGCCCCACGGGGAATATCCTGCAAATGCCACATAGTTCATGGGAAATTTAGACATTAACAAGAGGAGCTCATTTTTTATGTGAAATTCAGGACTCAGCAGGATGAGTCAGTAGCTACCTCTCAATCCCATAGGTAGCACTAGGCAAAGCACAGTGTTCTGGAAATTGGGGTGACTATAGGCTTGAGAGCTAACGTTTAGCTTAGGATCAGGAGCAGCCATCAGTGGAGGGCAGTCTAAGGCGAGCCAGTCCAGGGGCCTCTTCATTCAGATGCCCAGGGGCTTTGTGCAGGAGCACTCTCCACCCTCTTCTCCGAAGGGAACTGTGCCCTCTAGACTCCACGGCCCCAGGAAGTTATTCCCTACTCCAGATTCCATCATAACCTGAGCCTGAAGGTGACAGTAGTCCTCTCTAAAGCTCACGGAAGACAAAAGTCTGCTGAGGGAAAATGAAGCCAGAATTTGAGGGAGAGTGCTGGTTCCCCATGAGTCCTTCACTGGCCGAGAGAGTGTGGCTTAGGCATGATCCCAAAATATGGCAGCTGGAGGCTGTCAGCCAGTTATGTTCTTTGCTGCAGTTTTTTGGAACTTGGCTACAAAATGGCCTTCTACCCTACGATACGAGCAAATCTGTTTCTTACAATAGTAGACTCATTCAGCCACAGAGAGTGGAGACAGGGTGTCGGCGAGTTATTTGGCTTCTTTCTGGGCATGTGGAATGTATATGGGTTGATGGTGAGTCTTATCTTTAATAAAGTCAGTCATCAATGAAGCTTGCCTTGCCACCTCTAGTATCTTTGCTGCTTCATCTCAGAAGCTGACCAAGACTCTTGGGAGTAGGCTCAGAGCAAGTAGCACTGTTCTGAGCCATGTCTCGAACTAGACACCAGAATTCAGCTGCACAGCAGCTGATGAGACCAGCCCATTTCTGCTGGAGTCAGCGCATCACCAAGTAAGCTGTCCTGGTCTGCACCATGCTCTCATACATCTGGTGAAGCTTGGCAAAGAGCCCCTTCTAATTATCACAAAGGGCAATGACCTAATTTTCTGCCTCACTGGGCAGTAGACAGCAGGTCAGAAATGCCACGTGGATTGATTGCCCTTTCCAGAAAACTCCGGAGGAGTCAGAAAGATATTCTGGGATTGTATTTTTTTAAAAGGATAGACTCTCCCATTAAATATAGGATAGTGATTAGAGATGTATCAGTATTTTGGAGGCCTACAAATTATAAAATTAAGAGGGGATCTTAGAAAATGTTTGTCCAACGAATGAATTATATTGAGTACCTACTATAAACCATGGAGCTTAAAGTCTGGTTATGGGGTAAATATTATACAATTACATAAATGGTTAAGTATAACATGGAGAGACATATACTGTATGGTAAAATTATATAAAATTGAACCTAGGCTAGTCTGAGAGCTCAAAAATAATGCTCTGAGAAAGTGTCACTGAGGATATGTCCTGCAGGATAAATAAAAGCCAGACAGCCAAACCAGGGAGGTCTGGGGGTGGACTGTAACAGGCAGTGGGAGAAGAACTTGGAAACGACCAGGAGGTGAAGGAACACACTGATGTGATGGCGATGAAAGGTCCGTGTGTTTGGAGCACAGGAAGTGAGGGTCAACGCTGCAGGGGCAGGTAGGGAGAGTGGTTCAGGATCTCGTATGTCTCAGGAAGAACATCATTCTAATAGCAGTGAAAAGCCATGGGAATGTAATTGCAATGAAAGCTATGAAAGTGAATCAAATGAGATGTGCTAAGGAGCAACTTTAGAAGGAGAGGAAGCCCTAGAAGTGAGCCATAAAGCATTCCAAGCTTTAAAAGTCAGTAGCAGACAAAGCTAGAAAAAGCAATTGCCAAGAAGCAGCTAGTGAGATAGAAAAAAAAAAAAGTATCGCAGGAAGGAAAGGGTAGGAAGAGGGTGTTTCCAGGAGAATGTGCTTCCCAGGAGCCTGAGGAATGCTACTGAGAGGCTAAGCAAGAAGGAACTGAAGGGCTGCCATTGAAGTTAGCCACTTCGACGAAATGCATGACCTGGTTAAAGGGCAGTCTCAGGAAACAGAAGGGCATGAGGTGAGAAAGCAGAGTGGTATATATGGATTGAAGACACAGTGGCATGTATGGAATGGGAAGTAAGTGAATGGAGACAGTGCATGGATATGATCCTCTCAGGAAGAGTAATTGTGAAGGGGAGGAGAGAGTTAAGTCGCAGCTGAAGGGAGAAGCTGGATGGAGGCAGAAATTACTTATTTTTTATTTATTTCAAAGGCATGCTGTAAGCGATCCCAGAGAGAAAAAGAGGTTCAGGACATAGGAGGGAAAAGAGACTAGATATAGTTCAAGGTCTCAAGGAAGGCGGGAGAGCCAGAGTCCTGAGCATAGGACCTTGTAAGATGCACAGAAGAAGGTAAGGAGATGACTAGGGAAGTTTGCAGAGTTTACTGAACCTTCATCTGTTGACTTACATCATCTTTACGGTGGAGAAGGTGAGTTTGAAGAGGATTTCACGATTATTCTGAGGAATGAGAGAGCTCGTAGTTGAGGTTGCTCACTATGGGGTTAATACTGATACTGAAGTTTTCTCTCCAGCACTTCTCAGCTTCCAAAATGACAGATGTTGAATGGTTAGGGTTATTTGGGGGGGTTGGGGTGAGGAAAGCGTATTAGTTAGTGATACATTAGTCCAAGGAAGCAGCATTCCAGAAGAGAGAATGAACTGTGATGCTAGGAAGCAAAGTGAATATAAAAAACAGAGAGAGTCGATAAACATGTTACTGGTAGGATGAAGGTAGGAAAATGGCCAATGGGAGCAAGGGTTGTAAAGGGAGGGATTCAGCGAAATAGGTAGGTTTCAGCCAGTTTAGGAGTTCACCCTAGGAGTACAGCCCATGCTGAGATCTTGGCCATGGTGCTTGCCACCTGACTGCCTTTGGTTCCTGCCTGGGTCTCCAGCATTCCCCAGGATTCCACAAGCTACCTAAAATTCTTCCATAAATTCCTTTTCTCCCAGCTTGCTTAGTGTTGGGTGCTTAAATCTATGCTTTTGGCAGAGAAGAAAGATTATGTTCTTTACCCAGCTCACTAGGGGGAAATGGTAGGCAGAAATTCTGGGCGTATTCTGTGTACAGGAAAGGAGTGAATTTGGTTTGGACATTCCTCGGCCTTTGTCATTTGGGA